TTTTTTCTTTTTGCTTATGTGGTGCTGGGGAATCGAACCCAGGGCCTCATGCATGCAAGGCAAGCACTCTACCACTGAGCCACCTTCCCAGCCCTCGATTTGTTATTCTCTAGAGGAAAATGGCTCCATTACCAATTCACCTGTATTTTACTCTTCAGGTTAGATATAGAATACTGAAAGCTTAACTTTCATAAAATGCTGGAGGAGTGAATACTTTTTTTTTTTTTGTCAGTCCCCAGGCTTGAACTCTGGGCCTGGGCACTGTCCCTGAGTTCTTCAGTTTAAGGTGAGCAGTCTGCCACTTGAGCAACAGTGCCACTTCCAGTTTTCTGGTGGTTATTGGAGATAAGAGTCTCACAGACTTTCCTGTCCGGCATAGCTTTGAACTTCGATCCTCAGATCTCAGCTTCCTGAGTAGCTAGGGTTACAGGTGTGAGCCACTGGCGCCCAGTAAGTGAATACTTTTAAAGGAGCTTTGTTTACAGCTTATACTTGTAAGGCTCACAATAGAGTTGCACTCCTTCCTCTGTCATTTATTTGGTTTTGATTGGTAATTAAACTAGAGACTGGTAGATATGAATGAAGTATTATTTTCTAGTAAAGGTACGGTACTTTTTTTTTTTTTTGTCATGGGGCTTGAACTCTGGGCCTAGGCACTGTCGCTCAGCTCTTCAGCTCAAAGTGAACACTCTACCACTTGATCCACAGCGCCACTTCTGGTTTTCTGAGTGGTTTATTGGAGATAAGAGTCTCATGTCCTTTCCCGCCTGGCCTAGCTTTGAACCGTGATCCTCAGATCTCAGCCTCCTGAGTAGCTAGGATTACAGGCCTGAGCCACTGGTGCCCAGCTCTACTTTACTTTGATGCACTCTTTTTTTTTTTTTTCCAATCTTGCATATTCTAACCATAAAGCATTGAGAGTGAGCCTACAATTTTTTTTGAAATCAGATGTTATATATCATAATTGTTGAGGAAAAATTGTGTATTTTGACATCTTAGTTTCTAAACATATTCACAGTATCTTTGGTACAGTTTTTATGTCAGTTTTTGGCATTTGGCAGTATTTTCCATGTAGCACCATTTCTGCTTATGTACCCCAGCCCTCTTAATGTCTGAGAGAAGGATAGTAGTTGCATTAACACACTGAGACAGAAAGGAAGAGGAAGGCTTAGACATCACATTTGTGTGTAGTGTGTCAAGATCCGGCTTTTGCAGATCACTTTGAAATTTGATGTGGTTATGATGTGAGCATGTAGAATACGTTCCTAAAGTATACGCTGTGTGTTGATGGATTCTGCTACCTTCTTATCATTTCTCCCTCTGAGTGGGGCCTTTTTCTGCCTGCTATACCGATTTATATGGCATCAGGATTTTGATGAAACTTCTCTGTTCTTTTGTGAGTTATACATTTTAAATTATTTCCCTATAACTTCGGGAAGGTAGCTCATATATGCTCAGTATACATATTTAATAGTAAAACCTTATTTTTCTTAAATTTTTTGTTAATCTTCTGTTTCCTCAGAATTTTTGTCATTATTACTCAATATGATTTTTTTTTTTTTTTTTGCCAGTTCTGGGGCTTGAACTCATGGCCTGGGCACTGTCCCTGAGCTTCTTTTGCTCAAGGCTAGTACTTTACTACTTGAGTCACAGCATTACTTCCAGCTTTTTCTGTTTATGTGGTACTTGGGAATTGCTCCCAGGGTTTCATGTATGCTAGGCGAGCACTCTACCATTAAGTCACATTCTCAGCCCAAAATGGTATTTTTTTTATTTCCCTTGTGGGTCTTACACCATGCTTCTGACATAGTAGTTTTGTAGTTTGAAAATGTTATGCTTGGTTTCACTTATTACATGTTAATTGAATAGAATATTACCCAGTTACTAAATTTGGACAAGTTGTATAATACAGAAGCTCAGTTTTGAGATATAATTGTGTTGCCTGTCCAAAATCAATGCAGATGATTGATAACAGTATTTTTAGAACAGTCAGTCATCTTCCCATACCCTAAAACTCAGACCTGCTTTCAGATTGAGTTGTGAGTCAAGTTATTATACTGTATAAACTTCAAGTGGGGTGCAAGATAAATCCTTCTGAAGCTAAATTTGTGCTCTATTAGTTGAGGTAAGAGGAGCTCTCATGCAGTTATGTTTTGAGGCATTGTTTAGGTCTTTAGTAGTCTTCGGTGGTCTGCTTTTTCCACTTACTGTTGATGTGATCTCCCCCCACTTCCCTAGATAAACAGGGGTCACATGACGACTGAAGCTAAGAGAGCTGCAAAGATGGAAAAGAAGATGAAAATTTTGCTTGGAGGTTACCAGTCTCGGGCTATGGGCCTCATGAAGCAGTTGAATGACTTATGGGACCAAATTGAACAGGCTCACTTGGAATTACGTACTTTTGAAGAACTCAAGAAACATGAAGATTCTGCAATTCCACGGAGACTAGAGGTAGTACTTTGTGTTACTTCAAAGCATTGCCTAGAAGGAGAGCTGCAAAGAACTAATTATCAGAGTGTTACCATTTTCTTCTTCCTTATAGGCTTTCTGAAATGTGTACTGGTGGGCCTTTGACTTTCCAATTAGATCTGCCTTTGCAAATAATGGAGGCTGAGGCCTTCGCTTTCTTCGCTTCTGGTTCCATGTAGACACTCCGGGAAATGGAATAAGTACTGCTGGTGCTCTGTCCCACGGGACTTAACCATATCCCATTCATGCACCTGGAAGGGGGTAATTAAGCAGTGTCCTTTTGTGATTGGATGCTGGGAACCTCAAAACGTCAAATTCCTTTGGCCAGGTTTCGACTATCATTCTCCTCAGTGGGCCCAGTTAAAGCCAGTCACGGCTTACTTAGCGCATTTGTGGTGCTGGGAGGGCAGTAGTGGTTTGTTACTACATTAGCAGCAGAGATTTTTTTTTTTTGGTTGGTCATAGGGCTTGAACTCTGGGCCTGGGTACTGTCCCTGAGCTTTTCAGCTCAAGGCGAACACTCTACCACTTGAGCCACAGTGCCACTTCTGGTTTTCTGGTGGCTTATTGGAGATAAGTTGTCTCGCAGACTTTCCTGCCCGGGCTGGCTTTGAACTGGGCTCCTCAGATCTCAGCCTCCTGAGTAGTTAGGATGACAGGCGTGAGCCACCGGTGCCTGGCAGCAGCAGAGATTTTTTTACAGGATGTTAATCTTACAAAAGCAAAGCAAAGGGGCTGGGAAGGTGGCTCACTGGTAGAGGGCTTGCCTGGCATGCATGAGGCCCTGGGTTTGATTCCTCAGCACCAATAAATAGAAAAAGCTGGAAGTGGCTTGTGGCTCAAGTGGTAGAGCACTAGCCTTGAGTTGAAGAGCTGAGGGAGTTCAAGCCCTACGACTGACCCCCCCCAAAACAAAACAAAACAAAACAAAAAAACAAAAAACAAAACAAAAACCCAACAAAGCAAAGGATAGTTACAGAAGTGGTTTTACTACAAGTCTTTGCTCCGTTCGATTCTCTTTCGGGGCATGTCTCCTGGGCGCTCCGAGTATCTTGGCTGTCTCTAGGATGGTGCAGTTCTATTGGATTTTGCACTTACCATGCACTTATGTGTGAAGTAATTATTTCATCTTTTCCTCTCTCCAAGTGTCTCAAAGAAGATGTTCAGCGGCAGCAGGAAAGAGAAAAGGAGCTTCAGCAGAGGTATGCGGACCTGCTGCTGGAGAAGGAGACATTGCAGTCCAAGTTCTGAAGCACATTTTGTGTCTCTCACAAGATGAATAATCACTGGTTTTCATATCTGCAAGGCTGAAACGGATGCTTGTCTTCATTGGCAGATTTACCCACCATCTGCGGTTTTTCAGTTGTTTATTTTAAATGATTTTAAATCAATCTTACACATTCTGTGTAAGGACTTTTAACTTCACAGGACGGACCAGGGTGTAAATTATTAAGATGAGCATTCTTTTACAGTGTCATAGTTGTGTTTTTTAGTTTTGGCCTTTCCTTAAAAAAGTCTGACTGAAGTGCTGCCTGTGAGTAACCCCTTGAATAAAAAGAAAATGTAAAAACTGGGAATGTAGCCTTTTGTGTGAAGTAAGTAGTCAGAAGCTGCCTACACAGCAGCCGCTGCTCTTGTGTCACAGAGTGACTCTTGGGGGTCAGCTGACGTACAGGGGCAGTCCTTTGTGCTTCAGCAGTGTGCATTGCTCTACACTGCCGAGGCAGATGAGTGCGGTACCTCACTCTTCACCTTTAGGGAGTGGTCTGCCAGCTGCTTACATACTTCATGAATGAACAAAATATTTTCTTTTTTTATTTTTGTCAGTCATGGGGCTTGAATTCTGGGCCTGAGTGCTGTCCCTCAGCTTTTCAGCTCAAGCTGACTGCTCTACCACTTGAGACACAATGCCACTTCTGGTTTTCTGGTGGTTTGTTGGCGATGAGTCTCACGGACTTTCCTGCTTGGGCTGGCTTTGATCCTCAGATCTCAGACTCCTGAGTAGCTAGGATTACAGGCGTGAGCCACCAGCACCTGGCTTTCAAAGTATTTTCTTTTCTTACAAGGTATTATTATTATTATTTTTTTGAACAATGTCATAACAATGTCTCAACAAGACCATCCAGCTTCATCACAGCTCTCTATTTAGCTTACCTATTAAGTACTTAAGTACAGAATATGAAGAATAAGCCTAATTTTATAAGTATTCATATAAGATGATTTAGTAGCAGCCAGATATAGTGGTACACACCTGTAATCCCAGCACTTAGGTGACTGAGACAGGAAGAACAAAAAAGGTCAAGGCTAGCTTGGGCTACATAGTAAAAGACCCTATCTTAAAAACAAAACAAACAAAAAACCTAAATCCCAATGACAAAAAAGGATTTATCCACTTACTTTGTTTATAAGTTTAATGAGTGAACCTAACAGATAGTTGGATTTTTGCTCAATCTGACTGTTAGGAACTAAAGGGAGGAAGAAAAGACCCACTCATTCACTAGGTATTTATTGAATAAATGTCCTGTGCCAGAGAGAGAACAATGAATAAAGTAGACGTGCTTCTGATTTTATTTTGTGCAGTTTACAGTCTGCAGAGAACAACAATTAAATGTAAATGTTTACTGGTGGTAGAGATGAGCATCTATTAGAACAAAAGTTAATTGGGGAAACAATATAAACAGGGAGAAGTATCAAATCATGAGTGTCAGCTTCTGTGGAGAAATGAAAATAGAACCATATGGATAGGAAGTGATCAAAGAAATCTCTTGAAGAGCTAACACTTGATTACCATTTTAGAAAGAGCCACCCTTGTGACTTGGAGGGAAAGAGCAGCCAGGCAGTTAGTAGGTAGCACAAAGCCTGTATATTCTGAGGAGCAGGAAGGTAGTGTCAGGAGTGTCAAGAATGGCCTTACTACAAGGCTTTGTTAGGCCCTCAAGTGTAAGGACATGGTAAGGAATTGGGTCTACGATGAGTGACTATGAGAATAAGTGAAAGAATGAGATGTCAAATAGGTTTGAGAAGAATGTCTTATTTTGCTGGAGTTAGGAAATGAAAGCCAGTTAGTTTAGGATCCTTGACACAATAAGACAAACAATTAGAGGAACTCAAGGTAAGATTGAGGTGGATGGAGATAGGTGGAGAGATTGAAGGGGTCATATTTCTAAAGTCTTAGACCATGTATTCCTGGCATCATTCAGTTCCTAGACTTCAGTTAATTTCTTCTAGGTTTTCTAGGAAATACTTTAATATCTGCGAGCAGTGGTACTCTCTTAGTTAAAATAAATTTTTATTGTATGTTTTGATAATGGATATGTTTAGAACAACATTAGGTGGTGTTATATTCTTGTTTTGTTTCTGGTTTGAATGAGAATGTTTGAATGTTTGCTGTGTTTTACTTTTTTTGTCAGTCCCTGGGCTTGAACTCCAGGCTTGGGCGTTATCCATCAGCTCTTCAGCTCAAGGTGAGCGCTCTACCACTTGGGCCACAGCGCCACTTTGGGTTTTCTAGTGGTTTACTGGAAGAGTCTCATGGACTTTCCTGCCCGGGCTGGCTTTGAACTATGATCCTCAGATCTTAGCCTCCTGAGTAGCTAGGATTACAGGGGTGAGCCACCAGCACCCAGCTGTTTTACTTTTTTAAAAAAAATTTTTGTCTGAGACTGGGACTCAAATTCTTGACCTTACACTTTTGCTCATTGGCTGATGCTCTGCTACCTGAGCCATGCCTCCAACCCTGGTCTTTTTTGTTGGTCGTAGGGCTTGAACTCTGGACCTGGGCGTTGTCCCTCAGCTCTTCAGCTCTAGGTGAGTGTTCTACTACTTGAGCCACAGCACCACTTTGTTTTCGGAGTGGTTTATTGGAGATAAAAGTCTCACGGACTTTCCTGCCCAGGCTGGCTTTGAACTGTGATCCCCAGATCTCAGCCTTCCGAGTAGCTGGGATTACAGGTGTGAGCCACTGATGCCCATCTTTTTCTTCTTTTAAACAAAAATTATTATTATATTTTACTATTTTTTAAGTAGTTGAACAAAGGAGTTTCAATTCAACAAACCAGTTCATAAGGACAATGCGTCCAGCTCAGTGCCACCCTTTGCGTCTTTCTCCCACATGGCCTCCAACCCCACCCACACCCCCAAGTTATGTGGTTCCATTTTCACATATGCTCATTGAACAGAATGACGGTATTGTGTTTTAAGTTTGCTGTTTTGAGTTAGAGACTCTTTATCTAGAATGGTAGTATAGCTGTTTTTAGTTTTTAAATGAGTTTGAATTAGAAAGGGCTGTAGAATATTGTCAGACTTTTTGGCATCTGTTAAGATGATCGTACATAGTTTTTCTACTGTAGTGTGGTGATTACTTACATTAACAGGTTTTCTTGCATTAAACCATCCTTCCTCAAGCCAGGTAGATTCATTTAAAAAGTGGAAATATTGTTAATTTGCAATTTATGTAGACCTGAGTTATATGGGCTTAATTAATCTAATTGTACTGATAGTCACCATCTTACTACATGAAGTCAATGCCTAAACACCTCACCAAGAACTCTCCTTTTCTCCTGGGCAGTCTGCACTGTTCCTGCCATTTCAGGGTAATGCCTGCCAGTGCCCTGTCCGTATCCTTTAAACTGAAAGTGGCACCAGCATAGGTGTGAGTGATGTCGATGACTGTTTCAACCTTCATATTGACCATGTATTCTCATGACTACTCACTATGGTAGGGCTAAACTAGAGTTGAAGAGCTTGTTAAAATCTAATTTTGGGAAGGAAATGAAATCTGATTGAGTCAGAAGAAACTACTCTAGTAGAAACCTCTTAAAAAATTTGAAGTCATGTTGGGATAAAGCATCCAAGATGATACCACACTAATTGGGTGCTTACTCTGCCTCGCTCAAATCCTTTGTAGGAAAGCTTTTCTCCCAAAATAGGACTGCCCTATTTGTGCTTGAGTCTGACTTCTTTCTGTTATTTACAAAATTGACAGCTTCCACATGAATTTTCTAGATAGGTCTTTGGGCTAGTGTACAACTTAGGACCTGGGGCTTTTGCTAGCTCTCCAGAGTAAATAGGATGGTGTATATTTTTCTGTGCATTAAACGGCTCCAGCATGAGAGAGCGTTGTTCCATGAAAGCTTGGCAGATTGTGCTTGTAAAAGTGTCAAGTTCAGAGCCCTGTTGGGAAATAATTTCTTGATAATTGTCAGTTTCTTTTGTGACAGTTAGTGTGCTACCTTCAAATTTCAGTAAATTAAAAAATTTCTTTCTTGATATACTTCTTTTATGTCAATTATTTACTAAATTTAATTTACACTTGAATATTTTCTACTTGAAGCTTAAATATTTGTTGGCATAGAATTTCAACTAAGAATCTTTAAAAAAGTGGATTTTTGCTATTTCTAAGAAATTTACTTTCGAGAGATTTTATTTTTGGCTTGTGTAAGGCATGCTTTTTCCTTCAGAAAACTATTGTTTTGATGGTGATTTTTATCTTAAATTATATATCCTGTTTTGTTTTCTCTGCATTTTTTCCTCTTAAGGTTTGTATGCACATATGTTGTGAGTTACATCTCAGTTAAAAATGCGAACATTGCAGCCATTTTGAGGTGTAGTCACCTTATTTTCTCACTTTGTTTTAGATTTTTGGATCTAATTTTAAGATTTTAAGTATTAGGAATATTTAAGCATTTTGGTGTGGTTGGTGTTTTAAAGAAATTGCTACGTGCAGAAAGAAAATACAGCATATGCCATTTTTGTTTCTTAGAATTTTGAGTTTTGAGACTTGATACTGAGTCCCAAAAAAGGTTTTTTTGTAGATGTTTTAAATGAAGATTTGTTCAATTTGCAAACTACAGAGCTGAACAGGTATTAACCAATTTATCTGATTCAGTTATATTTTTTGGTTTATAAACACAATGGATTGATGTGTTATAGTCATTATTGTCATTTCTCTTGATTTTTGTCTGGAGGTTTTGCCTTGTATAGTTTGATACTGTGTTGGAGATATACTTGTGCCTGTTATATACAGTTTAACACTTGGTTCCTTTTGTTGCTTGCCTTGAATTTTACTTCCTTTGTTATTAGAGTGTTTATCTTCTTGTTTGTGTTTGCTTGCTAAATTGTCTATCCTATTGTTTTTAATTTCATGTGTAACTTCTGGTTGTAACTGTTGATTAGAAAACTGTTCCTCATTGTTTTTACCAGAGAGAAGCCCTGGCTAGGGTTTTAGTTAGCCTGCCCCAAGAGGTCAAACTCTGTTCCTGTCTTCCCACCACAGAAGAAAGGGCCGCCTCTGGACGAGCCCGGCCCAGCGCATGGACTTCCTGCGTGTTGTCTCACTGTACCCCCTTTTCTCCTATGAAATGTCTTCATACCCTGAAGCCCCTGAGGTAGAGATTTCAGTCAGTCTCCTCGCCTCTGTCTTCTTCAGCGTTGGCTCCGAATAAATCTCATTCCACCAGCTTCTGTCTCCCGCGTTTCTGGTTGTGTGATGGGCAGTGAACATTTGACTTTTGGTGTCTGTCTGTCTTTGTCTTTGTGTCTCTGTCTCTCTCTGTATTAGGGAT